AGTCAAATAGCGCCCCATCAGCAAATCTCTGAAGATTATCTGGGGTTCAGTGCATGCCTGAAAGCAGCTTGGGAATCCATACATAAACACATCAGTATCCAGGTAATTGGCCAAAAGCTACAACCTTTCATCACATGTGGATCCCCAGAAAGACTATAACTATAGAATTATAAGTGAAGCTTTCAAAATGCATTGCTGGTTTGGACATCCCTGCCTGCCGCTTTACGATGATCACGTATTCTCTTCCACTGCTACTCAACCTCAATCATCACATCAGCCCTTTTCACACACCATTAATTCTTACTACTCTGCCTGCGTCAAACACTTGAGCACTGGTGTGGATGTTCCAGTCGGGATCTGAGATGGTGTTTTAATACGACTTCTACGACAGCAGCCAAACACCCACTTTCAGGTCAATCTCCTGCTGCAGTGATGCAGTGAAACAGGACATTAATGAGGCAAATTTATGGTTCCTGTCATTACCTACTGGCTAACCTGTCAATGCAGGAAGCTGCCATTAGTGCTGCCCTGCTCAATGTTCACGCCATCAAACATAAGACAATTCACACTTACAATGAATATAGAGCTTATGAGGCTGCTGCCAAGTCTGACACATAATCTAGTGGGTATGTTACATTGACCAGCCTTGCCCTTCTAAACAGGAAGTAGATTTTTATCATCAATCATGAGTATAATGTGAAATTCAAGCAAAATTCCAAGGTAAACATTATACTTTAATTACCCTGTCGTGAAGCTGTTGTTCGATCGCCCCTTGTTCCATGTATCTACTGGCCATTTAAAACCAAACCTCTTATCCTCACTGAATCCTACACTGTCTGCTCTATTTGGCCTGTATCAATGGTAATGGATGATTTTAATATACAAGCTAAACCTGGCAGCTGTTCTATGGCAAATTAATTTGTTTCAGTGCTGAAACACAATGGTTTCTCACAGCTCATTGACTTTCCACCCACCAACATGCTGACATCCTACAGACCCTGAGCCAGTGACCATCTTTTACAACCTGGCTGCTGTTGACTCTGCTCTTTCTCAACATTTTCCTCACCAATGAAATCCAGCTCCTTCTCTGCACACAGTATCACATCCACTGACTGCAGTCTGGCAGTCTTAGACTCCATCTCCCAGGTTCCCTGGCTGATGCCATTTCACTTTACAACCTGGCTCATCTTCAGCTGCTCTCATCCCTTTGACCCATCTCTGTCCATTCACCAAATTTTAAAGACATTTATCATTTAATCTCTCTGTGTGCTTACCTGCAGTGCCAGCTCCTGGATTTGTCGGAACAGTTCAATGTCTTTTTCCGTCAGGTTCTCGTGACCCGGTAGTTTTTCATCTTCGTCACGCCAGTCACTGCCTTCCTGATTGTCTGGGGATTGAAACACAAAATTGAGATTAATGCAAATCTACAGAGTGGATTGTCAGAGAGCATGCCAAGATGTTTGCTGATTGTTTTTTACAATGGTGCTCCTGCCACAGAAGGTAGACAGTTATGAGACACTTATAAATGGGTTGAAGGTTTTTATAGAATAGACCTCAATAAACAACATTTTCTTCGTAATTTGGAGGGAGTTTGCGGCTTTACTAGAAGGGATGATGTTAAAGACCAAAGTGAAGGTAGGGGGGTTTGGTATCATAAATGCTTTGCAGGTGCTTTTCTACTTAAATGGTAAATGATCTGTATTTATATAGCACCCTTCTAGTCTTGATGACCATTCAAAGTGCTTTACAGTACAGTTTACTGCTATTCACACACATATTCATACAATGCATCTATGGGCAGCTCTATATCTATGAGGGACAATTTGGGGTTCAGTATCTTGCCCAAGGACACTTAGGCGTGCAGGTGGGGAAGACTGGCATCAAACCGCCGCCCTTGGAGTTTGCCTTCAACATGCACTCCATTTGGGCGAGCGCAAAATGTACTAGGTATTTTACTGTCATATGTCGATTTCGGAAAACACAAGTCAATACATCAGAAACAGTTATATACTAAGAGTCATACCACTATAGATGCACATGTTTTTATAAATACAGCAATAAATGTGGTTGAGCTGGCTTTTTATACACATGAAGGGTAAATAGGTTGAATTATGACTTTTGTTTCTGGATTTGTCCCAAACTTGATAAGTTGTATGAACCCCTGAATTATCCACAGTAAAGGAAAACAATCAAAAATCTGAGTGCTTCTGTGAAAGCTCCTGAAGAATCTGCTCTACTGCTTTTATTCTGTTCTTCATTGACAATTGACAATGTGTGTTTTTGTTCTTTATAAACTTCATTGTCATCTGAGCTGCAAGAGTTAAACAAGGTTAAACTGCAATTCCTTCTAATATATAAGCAACAATTTCCTTAGACAGAAAATGACAAATCAATTCCACAGCAGTCTTAGCCTTGGACTACATTTTCCCAATAAGCTGCATCATGGCTGGAACTTTTTTTTTTTTTAATGGGACAAAGAACCCTGAAGCACTGCAGTCTATGCATCACAGTTACACCTGGTAGTGCTGAGTCTACTGACAAACAGCCACCTGACAGCCTCTGATAAAAATATTACCAAAGGATGCCCAATGCATTTCCCCGTACACTTTATTAAAATATCGAATTTGTTGCTGTGCTGTTCCAAATTAGCTTAATGCCTCTTTCACCAAACACAACAAGTCCACATTATGTCAGGGTGTAGACATGTAGACAGTTACCGATTACAGAGGATATTAAAACAATAAGACACTGGCTCAGAGTCTGCACAGTGTTTACTGAGTGAGATCTATGACATTTGATTTCTGCTGCACTTGTAGTTGTGTGCAGTTTGTTATTACCCTGACTGTGATAGTCCATTTTTCATAATAACATTAAAGCTCTTAAAGAAGTTTCGTGCTGTTATTTCACTGTAGAGTTTACAGCTCCCTGCACTTCTTGCTCTCTGACATGTTGACTCGTCTGATCTTCTAACTTTTTTCTAGTCTTTTAACACCAAATACTCCTCTTCCTCATTGGTGAACTCTCCTCTTGTCATGTGACAAGATTATAATGTGCTGCTGTGTGGAGGAGACATTTCCCTTCCACTTTATAACTGCAATGTGTAAAATTAACCAAACAAGTTTTATGTCTACAAAAAAAGGAAATAGCTGGTGTGACCGGTGAGCAAGTTACATTGGAATGGTATGTGTCTGAACACTGGTAACACCGACTACCAAAACACCCCTAGTCGCTGTGCCAAAGTCACATATGTTATCTATGCCAAATCATCATCCTACAGTAGGATAATGATATAATTGGACAAAACAGCAGCTCAGTCTCTAGACTTAAACATCCAGCTGCTTTATGATGAACTGGACAGAAAGTTAAATTAACAACCCAAAATTCATGGGAACTTCTGCAACAGTGTTGAGACGAACTTTCCTAACAACGTTTACTTACCGTTGTAGGAAGAACAGTATCAACTGCCAAATTTTGGTATTCTAATTTTTTTGCCCCCTTGTGTATATAAGCAGATGAACAAAACTAATATTTACCCCCCCTGTCATCTCCTTCTCCCTTGCGATTGGCTTTCTTACGGATGCGGCACTGCTGCGAGTAGTCCACCACTTCCTGTCGTGCCTTGCGGCCCTCGGGTGACGGTGTGAAGAATTTTGTGAGGGCGTCGATGAGGCCCTTGGTCTTGTTATTGAAGCGTAGGCCACTCTGTGACAGGTCATCGTCGTCCCGCATTGAAAAAAGCAGCCGATCGTCACCGGGGTAGCCTTCACAGGAGGAGCTGGAGGATGAGTTGGCCGAGGCTGAACGCTTCCGCCGACCACGCCCGCCAAGTTTCTTGAAGGGCCGCCCCGGTCTGAAGAGGAATAAAGGAGTGTTGTTAAGCTGAGTAAGTCCAGCGACCTGCCTGTGGAACTACATATGTACTGTTCAGTATTTCCCCCTGAAATTTGGGCATTCATTTGGTGTCAGAATAACCCAAAATTATTTCCTGACTGGGAAAATTAATGTGAATGCCATCTCAAGGTAGAACAATGACATCACTTATAAACCAGTTCATAAAATTTTACAATCAGCTTTACATAGTAGCTAATATGAATTTGTCAAATGTTACAGTTTTGTCTCTTGCCAGCTGGACATCCATCTCTCACAAGCACCACTATCTAACTTGCAAATGTTTTAAATTACTAATATGTCAGTCACCCGTTATCCTTTTTCTTTGCTCTTTGTCACCATGTACATATTAAGCAAATGCATCAAGCTGTGGTTGAAATGATCTTGACACAATACAACACATTTTGTTTACGGTTTCCATGTGATTGTTTCACCTCCCGCCTTTGAAGAACATTGACACAATGAAGTCGAAACTACAGCATCTCAGCTTGGGCAATGGAACGTTCTGAGGAGCATGTAAACACACACTTAGATCGGTTTGTGGAAGTAGCTGTCGAGGGGATAGTTCAGGCCAGTGAAGGTTGATTATTGTAATTGCCAAGCAAACATACATGCAGTATGCTCTCATGCACATCCAAGTGAGAGCCTCACACAGTGAGGGCCTAGGTCTGGCAGCCTGCTGAGAACTGCATGTCTAGGTAATTAAAGGGAATCACTGCTGTAAATGCTGGAACAGAAATTAACCCTGCACATACTTTTTATAGATACATGCTAATAAAATGGGCAGAGGAGAGAAATGGCAATAAAAGGAAAACATGTCTGTGAGCGAAGTCTGGAGAATAAACGTTGTAGCTGTAAGAAAGACGATGTCTGGCTGGAGCTCCCCATCGTACTGACACCGAAGAAGTAACCATGAGCTAATGGCAGTTCTTTACCTGTTCTTGGGCCGTCCCAGCGGTGCGTTGTAGCGTCGTTTGATTTGTGCTGCCTTTTCATGTAAAAGCGTCTTTCCCTTTTTCCTGGGTTGGCAGATTTGACAAATCCACATGCCTGAGAGACAGAGAGAAAAAGAGACAGGTTCACATACACTGAGGTGGATTAGACACGACAGGCTTCAGTGCAGATACTAACACGCCCTGGGACGTATCTAACGCATCGGTACTTCATGGTACTTCATGGCATTAGATGTTTCATTAGAGTTCATTGGAAGCAACAACTCAAAAGATGTTTAATCATTTTCTTTGACTATGATGATCATGTATGTAAATGAGAGGTTGGACAGATACAAGTTGACTTCATGTGACGGTAATGAGTTAAAAGAGCAGTTCTGTTTATTTACCTTTTGGCATACGCGTGAGGGGAGGATCACAGCACTCCATGTGGAAACCCCTGTCACAGGAGTCGCAGAACAACATGTTGTCCTGTACAGCACAGACACACAAGTGTTGAAGATTGTCAAATGTTTTTATACAGGGTGAGTCTCAGTGACCTGATTCAATGGTGATATATTTGACATATTTTTCATTCATATTACAAATTTTCATGATTTAAAACCTCTGCCAAGGTTGTTACTTACTTGTTTTCATCTGAATCTTTGTTGGTTATTACAGCATTACATAAAAAATACTGGAAACTTGGTGTCAGGATGTGGTATGAGTCAGGGACTAATCCATACAATTTTGATGTGGATCCGAATCACACGGACACCGCCGGCAGCTCTTATCACCACAAGCTCCCTAAACAGCTTTGTCTGTGTGTATCACCACGTTTTCACTGGGAGATATTTGTTTTCTGATTTATGGCATCGGCTGTGTATCAGAGGCGTCATCAAAACCCACCAATCACTTGGGGTGAATTCCGTGGGGAATCCCCTGCTGTGTTCTCAAATCGACTTCTCCTGGATTTCTACGAACATTATAATGGGATGCCAGGCAGAATGTCTCACTCTGACATTTGTACCTCATCCAGAGAAAATACAGAGGAACTACAGAGTTCAGTGCGTGTCTGAAAGCAGCTTATGAGTGTCTGCAATTTTGGTAAAGCTTGTTCAAGGGAGCTATTCAGCTTTGGCAGAGGTATGTGCTCTACTGAGAGTCATCCAATTTTTTATTTTATTAATTAAAAATGAGAAGATTACAAATTAACAATACTTTGGCAGTATCAACCCTGACTGACTCTTTTTTCCATTACATTATGAATTTTAACATTGTGTGTCTTGATATATTGGGCATTTTGTCTCACTCTCTACTCTCCCTGCAAACATTTGAATAACAATGATTTCTAACTTGACAAGAAAGAGAAAAGAGGAATCATACCAAGCTTGACTAAAATAGCTCAATCCCAGGACCACAGACATGTCTATCAGCATCTCTATCTGGCACTTAAGCAGAAGAGAGCGTTCACAGGCGCCGTTTGGCTGCCAGGCCGCCATACATGCTCATCCACTCACCGCATTCTTTCCTTGATCCTGACAGCTGCTGCAAGTCTTGCATTCGATGCACTGCCACCACAGAGCCTTGACACGCGCTGTGAGCTCTGGGGAGAACTTGAGACAGGACGGGTGGCCTGCAGGTAGACAGACAGGAAGACAAAAAAGAAAAACAAGTGAGTCAACTTCAGAATTTTTTTCCGCCGTTGCTGACTGACAGCTGTGACCCACTTACATCATCGTAGGAGGGGGAAAAAAAGGCTCCTTTTGGAATTAAAGCCCTCACTGAATCAAACCTGGCTGCAAAGAGAGTGTTCAAACATAAATGACAATCTGTCAGAGCTGTGCTTTTGCTCGGTTTGAGGAAGAGCAAACAAGACAGCCTTGTCTGGGAAAGAAACCCGCTGAGGAAAGAACAATCTGTCCTCTGCTTTCACCAGGCAATGTCAGGGCTTCTTATGAATACTACAACTCCTGGCTGAAAAACAAGATCTTACAGGGATCTATTATATATGAGATGTACTGAACACAGACTAATACCAGTATCTGTGCGTATTCAATCACTGTGTTCGTATTTGTGAGGTGTCAGTTTAAGCATAGCATCCTAGGAGGGAAATGAAAGACCCCCCTTTAAGCAGCATTTAAAATTAAATGGCCAAAATGGTTAATTTGAAATGGATGATGAAAATTAAGTTCAAGCTAATTAAACTAGGGTTGTCAAACCTGGAAAAACTAGCAAGAACAGGCTACAATATGCAACCAATAGATCCCACCCCCTCCCATCAGCCCTCTCATCAAATCCAGGCCCCCCAAAAAGACGCTAGAAGCGGACTCTCCTGGCAATCGTCTCTGCTTCAGCTGTATATGTCTCTGTAACAATTTAATTCATCATCAGATGAATTTATTGATGGCCGTTTGGACTTGAAGAGGATTTCAAAAAATAAGATAAATCATCTTTCAGGAACAACTCCCCAATCCTTCTTTTAAGAGTGAGCACTCAATGAAGCTGAATTGTAAGAGGAGAGTAAATGTTGAGTGAAGCTGAAGTAAAAGCTGTTGTAAACTGTCCGCTACAGAGTAAGCCATGAAGGCAGTGGAAATGTAATTTGACGTGTAACCAGTGAGAGTGGCTGAATTTTTAGAGCACGAGCAAGAGATAAAAGAAATGTTACTTGAAGAGGAAGAGATAAACGTAGCTGAAATGACATTTAAAGACGCAGACGAAAGCACAAGGCCAGAGATAGGGGTGCATCTTGCTAAAATGACACTCAGAAGTGTTCTTATTTATTATTATTTCGACCAGAAAACTAGTATGAGTTAGTATACGAGTATGGCCATGTAACAGACTGAGCTGGTGGCAAGATAATTTTTAAAACAAGTTCACGTTTTACTGGTCAAAAATTCACACTTACCACTGTTGCCACAGTCAGCGCAGGAGATGAGCTCCTCCGGCTTCTTGTCGCGGTTCTGCTCCTTGGTGCCCAAGCAGAAGCTGCATATTGGGATGGGCTCTGCCACAGGCTGGAGAGGGACAGAGCAGAAGAGAGAGAGAGGGGGGACACGAGTTTAGACTGACAGACAATTTAACAGCTTCATTGTACAAATGAGTACAACAAAGTGGCCTTGTGTGTCCTGCCACAGCAGATGACTGTGGCTGTGTGTATTAACAAGCTAACAGCAGACTGAAAACGACAATGACACCATGGAGCCTGGGATCTGTGAGCACAGGGTTTAGGATAATAAAGAGAATAAGAGTTACTGTGATGAGTGAGCTTGTATAATTTATGTGACCGTGTCATGTTAAGAGTCTGCCATTATGTGCCAGTGCCTCTTGCCGACTCCTGAGCTGTTTGATCAAAAGCTATAACTGGCTGCTCCTGGTTGTACAGACTGTGGAGTCGCAGCATGTCCCAATTTGACACTTTCGGTTCCCGGGCTGCATACATCTTTTAACGTGTCCCTGAAAACACACCACTTGTCAGCAGGTGTGTGCTAAGATGCAAAACAAAACACATCTGAAATGTATATAAGCGCACACCTTAGCCAGGTTTGTGTCCAGGATGACAAAAGGCTGGACAGCACATGTTTTAAAGACATCAAATAAGACTTGTGTGAACAATAAAGCTGAAAAAAAAAAAATCACATCATCCTGAAGCAGCACAGGTGCACTTCACACAGACACCAACCCACAAGCAGGGCCCCCTGAGGGCAAGTCTTAAAAGTTTCGGGAGCCTGGAAGCCATGAGGGGAAGTGGTACAGCCTCACACTAAACCACAAGTCATTTTTCTGCTAGCACATTTTTGTTTGCTGCCGAGCACAGATATAAGTAAGTTGAATTTGTATTGCTGTCACTTTAACCATAAAAATCTTTATAGTTTTGGCTGGTATATTTACAGCTCACATAAATGTTGTGAATACAAATGAATTTTAGTAGCTTCAAATGTCAGGAGAACCTGAAAAAGGAGAAAAAAAACTAACAGTGCTGTATGGTGATTTATGATGCCCATAAAACAGTTTTGACCTTTATCAAATTTAGTTTAACAATCCCAAAATTTCTGTGGGTGTAATTAAGGGTTTTATGACAGATATAGTTGTAAAAAATACCCCTTTACAAATTGATGCAAGCACAATTTAAAAATGCTAAATAGTTACAGCTCAGGTAAACTATTGCTTAGATTTTTGACACGGGTACAGTAAACTGATTTTAAAAGCCACATTCTGAGGTAAATCAAGAACATCTGTGTGTAAGCAAGTGGATCCAGAATAGTTTAACATTAAATACACTCATTTCTGGGAGGTTCAACCGATGTCAATCGCATATAATTTATGAGCAACAACAATGATATGGAGACAAAGACAGAGAGATGTTCGGATACTATTTTTCACTTCCCAATATTTATTCCAATAGCTGGACTTTTAACATGGGCTGATACTGAGTACGCATCTGATAAAAGTGCATTTAAAAAAACAAATCCATATAATGTAATTTAACAGCTATAAGCTACTGACCCTGTATGCAAGTGATGATCACCATCATTGTTGTATGACCTGGCTCAGGTTTAACCCCATGAAAAACATTTACATACTGGGAATGAATGACAGAGAACTTATTCTAATATTTAGTTTGACCGTCATAACTGAAAAAAACACTAATCAACAAATCTAGGAATAAACAACAATTACGTTAATGCATGGTAGCATCATGGTGTAGGGATGCTTCAATACGGCACTTCACTGAAGACAGTGGGCGACATTAATGCAAGAAAATCTGTAAGAGATTGCATATAAGATGACAAACGCCAAAATTCAAAACAACAACGTCCTGCAGGGGACGAATTCGCATCCAGACATCCAACTATCAGAACTAGCGGCAGAACATGAAAGCTGCTGATGATTCAGTCAAGCAGAGACAATGCCAGAAATCGGACTTCAACGTTATATTTATGTTAACATTCAGCATTTTACAGATGCAAGACAGCTAAGCTGTCTTTCTCATATGAAAAACACAGGAGGAGACTGTGAGAAAATATCTGGCTCAAACAGGCAAATGGTCGTGCCTGGGTAAAGAATGCAAGTGGCAGGACATGATGTATTAATCCTGCTGCAGAATTTAAGTGTTTTTGTTCGAAACTGGGAGACTGGACACTTGGCCCATATCACAAAAAAGCTGTCGTTAGGCGCATTTTTTCATTCTGAGATATTTGCATTTTTTTCAGTTTTGTATTCATTGTATGTTACAAATGTCATTAACACACCCACTCCCTCGCGGTGTATGTCCAAACAGAATCCTGCTATGTTCTAAGATGGGCTCACTCTGAGATTCTCAAGTTTTGAGGGAGCTGATGGGGCAAACTCCAGAGAATGTCTGCAGCTCAGACATTGGTGTTCTCTCATACTCAATGCATGTCTGAAAGCAGCTTCCTAGTTTTCAGGTGATTTGTGAAAACTCATAGATTCATGATTTGCCACATTGGACTGTTCAACAGCCATCTTCACAAATTTAGATGTTCCAGAATCCAGATGTTGGCGTTTTCAACATGTTGCCATGGTTGTTCGAGTACTTTTGGGATTTTTTGTGATAATAAATATATATAATTTAAAATTAAACACAGAATTTGAATACTTATTTGGACGATGATTACCATGGCAACAGTCTAAGCTTCTAGCTATCGGGTTAGACCTAAATATTTTTCTTGACATATACTTGCAGAACGTCACAAGTTACTATGTATTTACAGACGGAACAATTACAAAGTAAAAGGCCTCTTAAGAGGAACAGCTTATTCTCAAGCACGTCCGTGGTAACTGCGATGAATTGCTGGGAAAAAAAACACTAATCTGTACATAGTGATGTAATCTGCAAAACAGTGAAAAAAGGCTTTCTACAGCCAAGGTCATAACATCTCTCCCAACCCACAAAGGACCATATCCTTTATTTAGCTGGGCGGGGGGGGTGGAAACAACACCATGACATTCAGTAAAATTGGTGTTTGGAGGTTTCCTGCAGGACAGCGTACGTGTAAATGTACGTAGCTGCAGTGAGCTGGGTAGGCACCAGGTCCTGGCAGGGAGGAGACAGGGACAAGAGCTTGATTTATTGGGTTCATTTCCTTCTAACTCAGGCTACTTCCAGCAGCCCCCGCTACATCTCCCCCCCCCCCACAAAACACAGCAGACAGAGAAAGGGAGAAACAAAAGGTATAAAGTGAGGGAGTAATGAAAGAGTAAGAAAGAGGTAAACGGAGAGAAAGAAATGGTTGTAAAGAGTCAGTGGTGAAGAGAGAGGTAGATAAGGAGAGACATGCAGGTGAGAAGAAGATAGAGCCTCGCTAGCTCTCTCTCTCTCCATTTTCTGAGCCCATTTTTCACAGGTGAACATAATATGAAACAATGATTGTGTACTGGATAACGATAAAGATTTTACAATGTAAATAGCTGTATGGCAAACAAAAGAAAGCAACAAAGTCACTGAAGAGAAATTGAACTCAGCAACTAGAAAGAAGAGGAGGAGGAGGAGAGTATGAAAAAAGGCAAAGCGAGGGCAAAAAAAAGAATTCAGAGGTAAAAAAGCAAAGGAAATGGGAAACGTAAAAACTGGGAGAAAATCTGCAGCAGCAGTCCGCTGAGCAGCCTGCGTGTGGCCAACACCTCAATCATTCCTGACGCTTAACCCCTTCCTCTCCAGAAGAGGTAAACTGCTCCCACTCACTCTGAGAACGCTCGAGTAAACAAGAGCCGAGAGTGAGCGAGCGAAGGAGCGTCGCCTTTAACACAATCAGACACCTTGTATAGAGATGCGTGTTACACTGAAGCTTCAGTTACTGGCTGCCACTGTAAATTAATCCCCAACAGATACTAAAAAATGAAAAGCTAATCCTCCCTCCACGACAGGGAAATTGGAACAGTGAAACACAATCCTCAAATTCCTCACAAGAGTTGGTTTTCCTCCCCCTTTCAGGCTTTTCTACCTCCGCCAGCTTCCTCAGCTGGCTGCCAGGTCTGCTCTTGCACTATGACAGCATTCTAGAAATTTCTCACATCAACTGGCCGTTTGAGTTGAGCGTCGACAGGGCCGGCATTTCACTTGAAATGTGTGCAGATGTGTGAGTGTCTATTTTAAGCCTTTGTTTTCATGTATTGGCATGTGATCTTCTTCTTTTTCCCAACATAAGCAGGATTCAGGAACAAAATATTGGCCTGAGCCAAGAACACACCTCACAGCAACTGTTAGCTACTAGCTACGTTTACTAGGTTGACTTGACATGCCACTTTTAGTCCATAAAAACATGTCTAACAATACACGCCTATTAAAGGGAGCGGCGGTGGACTTGTGCTTAGAAAAGAGGGACATCAGACTGGAAGGTCGCTAGTCCACGGACTGGAAAAACATACCAGAGGATGGACCAGACCTGGATCTGTTAGAGTCCACTCAGTTAGGACTGATGGACTCTCCCTATCCCACTTTCTAAGTGCCATGTCTAGTACAACCCAGCAGTGTTTAAGTTACTTGAGCAACAACAACTGCATATCATGTAGCACTGTGCTACCTAATTCTTCAGACAGTTTTCTAAAAGCCTAAACTAATACTTGAGGCGACATTGTAGCATTTTCTGAGACCTTGTAAATGCAAATAGGTTATAGAAAATGACTAAAGGTAGCCTGGAACCCCCTAATATACTGACTTATGTTATCCAAAGACAGAGGGTAAAGACAGAGGGCAGAGGAGTGAGACGTGAAGAAGAAAACAGTAGACGAAGGACCAAAGGAGAAACAGGAATGGAGGAGTAGGAGGAAAGAAAGGATAAAAAACAATGGTAAAAGAGAGAAAGAGGGGAACGCTTTACTGTTGTCCTTGTCTCGTCTCAAGTCAAGGATCTCATTAACATGGGAGCCCAATCTCAGCAACACAACCCACCACCACTACAGATCCTTATGGCAGCCCCCACCTCGAAAACAAACTCATTGATCAATGTTATAGGACACGCCACGCAAGCAGAGACAGGGCACAAACACACACGCACTTGTTCCAAAAGTCATTACATGCACTGAGGGATAGCAGTCACGAGACACACCTTGACACGCTATAGTTCCACTTTCATTTCAGAGCAAACAAACACGCATGAATCCTCAATTGACATCAGTTAACAGATAGGAGACCATGTGGCATTTCAAATCTGAGATCCCTTGCACGCTTGGAATTAATTTGTGTAAATGTGACATCTACAAGAGCCAGAGGAGGACTCTCTGTTGTGCCAGCATGCCCTACCTTCAGCCAAGCATCACCCTCCATTAAAGCTGAGGTTAGCCAGGGAGCACAAAGCTAAATCACTGTATCAAACGGAGCAGGGGCTGGCCACGCTCCAGCCGTCACTTCCACAGCTGCTCAACACATTGGTGGGCTGGTGATGCTGGCCATACGCGAGGCCTCACACAGCTCCTCTTCTC